GGATTCCAGGCTAACAGCTTTGACCCAGGCTTGCCAGTCTGGCTATTGTAGCATTTGAGGAGTAAGAGCAGATGGGAGCTCTTTGTCTTATGTGGCTCTCCTCTTCTCTTCCTCACTGCCTCCGAAATAAATTTCTCAGTAACATACTATAACCAGGGCAGGAGTTGTGCAGCAGTTACGACACTGCTTGGGAGGCCCACAGCAAATAATGGAATGCCTGGGTTTGAGTCCAGTCCTGCTTCCTGCTCCTGCAGCTGGTGCTGGCTGAGGTAACTGGGGTCCTGCCACCCGCACAGGAGATCTGGACTGATTTCCAGATTCCTGGCTACAGCCTGGCCCAACTCTGGCTGTCACAGGCATTTGGAGAAGGAACCAGTGGTTGGAAGAAGTTTTTCTCTCTCTCTCTCTGCCTTTCACATAAAATGAAAATAAATGACTATAGGGGCCAGCATTGTGGCACAGCCAGTTAAGCCACCTCCTGCAGTGCCAGCATCCCATATGGGTGCTGGTTCAAGTCCTGGCTGCTCCACTTCCTATCCAGCTCCCTGGTAATGTGCCTGGGAAATCAGTGAAAAATGGCCCAGGTTCTTGGGCCCCTGAACCCATGTGGCAGACTTAGATGAAGCTTCTGGCTTCTGGCTTTGGCCTGGCCCAGCCCTGGCGCAGCCCTGGCCATTGTGCCATTGTGGCTGTTTGGGAAGTGAACTAGCAGATGGAAGATATATATATATATATATATATATATATATATATCCCTCTCTCCCCTCCCTCCTTCTTTCTCTCTAATCTGCCTTTCAAATAAGTAAAATAATTTTTTAAAAACACTGACTTTAATATATAAATACATAAAATTATAAGCTGGTTTTCCAGAACCTTGACAACAATTTAAAAATTTTACTCTGTGTACAGTTTAATTTTTTAAGATTTATTTATTTGAAAGGCAGAGTTACAGAGAGGCAAAGGCAAAGAGAGAGAGAGGTCTTCCATCCTCTGCTTCACTCCTGTGATGGCCGCTGATAGCCAGACTGTGCCGATCCAAAGCCGGGAGCCAGGAGCATCCTCCAGGTTTTCCCACCTGGGTGCAGGGGCTCAAGGGCTCGGGCCATCCTTACTGCTTCCCCAGGCCATAGCAGAGAGCTGGGTCAGAAGTAGAGCAGCTGGGACTTGAACTGGCGCCTGTTTAGGATTCTGGCACTGCAGGCAGCGGCCTTACCCGATAAACCATAGCGCTGGACCTTGTACTTTTTTTTTTTTTTAAGAGTTATTTATTTTATTTGAAAGGCAGAAGACAGAGCAAGACGAAGAGAAAGAGAGGGAGTTCTTCCACCCACTAGTTGAGCTCCCAAAAGTGAAGTCAGGAGCCAGGAACTCTATTCAGGTTTTCCACGTGGGTAGCAGGGCTCAAGCACTTGGGTCATCTGCTGCTGCTTTCCCAGGCATATTGGCAGAGAGCTGGATTGGAAGTGGAGCAGCCAGGGCTCGAAGCGGCATGAATATGGGAAGCTGGAGTTGAAGGCAGTGGCTCAACCTGCTGCAACACAATACTGGCCCCTCTGTGTGGAGTTTTAAAGGACTGTGATGATTCCTTTATTATGGTGGTAGGTTGCATTTTTAAATTCTCAAGGAGGCTTTCGAAAGTTGGTCCATGTAACAATATATAATAAAAATATGTTTTAATTATGTATTACATATCTAAACACTTTTAATAAAGAATTAATTTCAAAAGAACACTCCATAAAATATAAGTAGACATACCAACATCAATAGAAAGAAAGACTTGAAGTTTTGGCCAAACCTCAGACTTGTGTTTGGAGGACTGTAGCTGAATTAGTAGGCATTCTCTTGTGTGTATTCTTCAGTTTCCTTTGGAGGAAGGTTGGGATTCCTTTTCTTCTCAGAGTTAGCACTCAAATGAAATTGTCAAAGAGGATTTATTAGTGCTGCTATAACCAAACACCTCAGACTGGGTAATTTATTTAAAAAGAAAAAAAATTTTCTCACAATTCTGGGGGCTGGGAAATTGAAGATCAAATTGCTGTCTGGTGCCGGCGCCATGGCTCACTAGGCTAATCCTCCGCCTAGCAGCGCCGGCACACCGGGTTCTAGTCCCGGTCGGGGCGCCAGATTCTTTCCCGGTTGCCCCTCTTCCAGGCCAGCTCTCTGCTGTGGCCAGGGAGTGCAGTGGAGGATGGCCCAAGCGCATGGGAGACCAGGAGAAACACCTGGCTCCTGCCATTGGATCAGCGCGGTGCACCGGCCACAGTGCGCCGGCCGCGGCGGCCATTGGAGGGTGAACCAACAGCAAAGGAAGACCTTTCTGTCTCTCTCTCTCACTGTCAACTCTGCCTGTCAAAAAATAAAAATAAAAAATGAATAAATAAAATAAATAAACAAATTGCTGTCTGGTGAGAGTTTGGTGTCTCCTTCCAAGATGGTGCCTGGAAAGCTGCATCCCCCGGGGAGCACCCTGTGTCCACACACAGTGGAAGGCGAAAGGGAAACGAGGACACGGCCAGTTCCCTCCAGCCCTTTTGTGAGGCAGAGAGAGCCCTTTGGACCTAACCGCCTCCCAAAGCTCTCACCTCTCAGTACCACTGCCTTTGGGACCAGGCTTCAACGTGAATTTTGGAGGCAATGACACCAGGGAGCATGTGTACTCCCACTTCTTAGAGCCCAACCTAGGGCTCCTATACAACAGGTCTTCTCAAGTTCATGGAAAATGCATATTGTCTTAATTCCATGTTTCCATGAATTTCCTTTCTTTCCTTTCTTCCATCCATCTTTCTGTCTTTCTTTCAGAGGCAGAATTACAGAGAAAGGGAGAGACAGAGATCTTCCATCTGCTGGTTCATCCTCAAATGGCCACAACAGCTGGGGTTGGGCCAGGCTGAAGCCAGGAGCCAGGAGCTTCTTCCAGGCCTCCTATGTGGGTACAGGGGCCCAAGTACTTAGGCCATCTTCCACTGCTTTCTCAGGTGCATTAGCAGAGAGCTAGATCAAAAGTGGAGCAGCTAGGACTTGAACCGGCACCCATATGGGATGCCAACACTACAGGCAGAGGCTTAACCTTGTACTCCATGATGACGGCCCCTTCTATGACCTTTTTAAAATACCCTCTATCAAAATTATCTATGTCAAAACTCATCAAATATTATATTTAAAGTGTGCACATTTATTGAATGTCAATTATGCTTTATTTTACTTCATACTGTTACCTAGCAAAGGTCTATTAAGCAGTTAATGAGAAACGGTTATTCTGGAGCACAGTGAGAATATCTCTTAAAAAGGGGGCTAGTGTGGGGACTAGCATTGTGGTGCAGCAAGTGAAGCTGCCACCTGCAGTGCCAGCACTCCATATCAGAGTGCCAGTTTGAGTCCGGGCTGCTCTACTTCCAATCCTGCTCCTTGTTAATGCGCCTGGGAAAGCAGCAGAAGATGGCCCAAGTGGTTAGGCCCCTGCTACCCACATGGGAGACCCAAATGGAGTTTCAGGCTCCTGACTTCGGCTTGGTTCAGCATTGACCATTGCAGCCATTTGGAGTGTGAACCAGAAAAAGTAAATTCTCTCACTCTCTCTGACTCCATCTCACTACTACTCTGCCTTTCAACTAAATAAAATAAATCTTTAAAAGGGGTTGTGGGTACAGCATGAAAATCCTTGGTTTCTGTCTTTGTTCTTGGCAAGGCCCTTGTCCATTCATTTCAGCAGCCATATCTTGCAAAGGAAAGAGAACAATCATCCAAAGAAGCATCAGAACAATCAATAAGTACATTCAAGAAAAATGTTAATGGATCCACATTCCAAGGAAGAAGCATTTGGTGACCCAGGTAGAGAGTTAAGATCGTTTAAAAGGGAAAGAATTCGGATTGGCATAGACTTCCCGGCGGCAACGGGGAAGGCCAGAAAGCAGTGAAATAATGCATGCAGTGTACGCAAAGGAAGAAACTGAGCCAAAGAGTATTTTATATTCAGCCAAACTGTCCTTCAAACATTCAGGTGAAGACAAACAGACTTAATCCAACAAGAGCACAGAAAGCATCGATTGTATGAATCTACCAGTTACCTACTGGTGAATGAGCTACAGCTCGCCAAGGGAACACAGGACAATTTTACTCATCTGGCAATGAGAATTGAATGTTTTTAACTCTAGATCTGAAACAAACAACCAAAAATAAGACTAGGACTAGGAAGAGTAAAGGTGGGAATAAGGAAGACAGAATATTCCGTGCTCAGACAATATAGGCAGGCTTGGAATACATGAAAAAAAATATGGAGAAGGGGAAGAGAATTTGGAAGTAGAGTAAGTCTGGAAAGCTTTGTCTGTAGTTCAAGAGGATCAAAAGGTACCTTCTAAAGGAGACAAATCAAGTAGAAGAAGGATAAGTGCATTTAATGGCACAAAGGGGAGCCCTGATCAGGTAATGTCATTGATTGCATTTTTTTTATTTTTTATTTAGTAAATACAAATTTGCAAAGTACAGTTAATGGATTACAATGGCTTCCCCCCTCCATAACTTCCCTCCCACTCGCACCCCTCCCATCGCCCGCTCCCTCTCCCATTCCATTCACATCAAGATTCATTTTCAATTATCTTTATATACAGAAGATCAATTCAGTATATATTAAGTAAAGATTTCATCAGTTTGCACACACACAGAACATAAAGTGTAAAATACTGTTTCAGTACTAGTTATAGCATTACTTCACCTTGGACAACACACTAAGGACAGATCCCACATGAGAAGTAAGTACACAGTGACTCCTGTTGTTGACTTAACAATTTGACACTCTTGTTTATGGCATCAGTAATCTCCCTAGGCTCTAGTCATGAGTTGCCAAGGCTATGGAAGTCTTTTGAGTTCACTGACTTCAATCTTATTCTGACAGGGTCATAGTCAAAGTGGAAGTTCTCTCCTCCCTTCAGAGAAAGGTACCTCCTTCTTTGATGGCCCCGTTCTTTCCACTGGGATCTCACTCGCAGAGATCTTCCATTTAGGTCTTCTTTTTTTTTTTTTTTCCAGGGTGTCTTGGTTTTCCAAGGGAAAGGGACAAATATCACATGTTCTCCCTGATCGGCGACAACTAACTGAGCACCAAAGAGGAAACCTGTTGAAGTGAAATGGACACTATGAGAAACAGTGACTTGATCAGCTCTTGTCCTGACTGTTGATGTACAATATAATACTTTATCCATTTTAGTATTTTCTCTTTGTTTTGTTCTAGTACTATTGGTTGAACTCTGTGATTAACACACAATTATTCTTAGGTGTTTAAATTTTAACTGAAAAGTGATCCCTATTAAATATAACAGTGGGAATAAGAGAGGGAGGAAATGTACAATTTGGGACATGCTCAATCGGACTTGCCCCAAATGGTGGAGTTAGAATCGTGCCAGGGGATCCCAATACAATCCCATCAAGGTGGCATGTACCAATGCCATCTCACTAGTCCAAGTGATCAATTTCAGTTCACAATTGATCACACTGATAGGTCTAAGAGTCAAAGGGATCACACAAACAAGTCTAGTGTCTGCTAATACTAGCTGATAAAATCAAAAAGGGAGGGAACGATCTATCATGGGAAGCGGGATACACAGTAGACTCATAGAATGGCAGATGTCCTAAATAGCACTCTGGCCTCAGATTCAGCCCTTAAGGCATTCGGATATGGCTGAAGAGCCCATGAGAGTATTTTAGGCATGGAAAACCGTTTGCATTTTTTAAAAAGATTTATTTATTTATTTATTTATTTGAGGGGCAGAGTTACAGACAGAGGGAGAGACCTAGAGAAAGGTCTTGCATCTGCTGGTTCACTCCCCAGATGGCCGCAACAGACATGGCTGGGCCAGGTCGAAGCCAGGAGCCAGGAGCTTCCTCTGGGTCTCCCATGTGGGTGCAGGTGCCCAAGCACTTGGGGATCTTCCACTGCTTTCCCAGGACCTTAACAGGGAGCAAGATCAAAAATGGAGCAGCTGGAACTTAAACTGGCACCATATGGGATGCTGGCACCACAGGCAGAGGCTTAACCTACTACACCACAGTGCCAGCCCCCTATCAGTTGAATTTGGATATAGAAAGAGAAGGAGGTGAGACAGGAGGAAGAAGACACAAACTGTGTTGTATAGCATGGAAGCAATAAATATTATTCAAGCAAAGGTGAGGGTGAAAGGAAACATATAAAGTCTAACTGTAAAGATACCCATGAAAAAAATAAAATGGCATTTTGATTAGCAGAAGGACTACAATAACAACAACAAAAAACAGGCCTGGAAACAGAATTAAACTTAAATACAATGCACATACAAAAAATACATAAAATATGCATTGCAGAATAATCAATCATCATAAATTACATATTCATTATGTACTACCTGAGTCAGGAAATGCAACATTACTAGCATTCCTTCCTGATTTTAATCTCTTTCCAGAGACAGATAACTACTAACCTGACTTGTATGGTAATTACATGCTTTTACAAATAATTTTTAAATTTTTTAAAATATTTATTTAGTTAGTTGAAAGGCAGAGTTACAGACAGGGGAGACAAAGGGTGGGGTGGGGGGGGACGGGGGTGGAGAGAGAATCTATCTTCCATCCACTAGTTTACTTCCCAAATGGCCTCAACAGCCAGGGTTGGGTCAGGCTGAAACCAGGAGCCTGGAATTCCCTCCTTGTCTTCCACATGGGAAGCTTGGGTCCAAGCACTTGGGCCATCTTCTGTAGCCCTCCTAGGTGCATTGGCTAGGAGCTAGATCAAAAGTAGAGCAGCCAGGATTCAATCTGGTGCCCATATGAGGTGCCAGTGTCACAGGTGGCTGTTCAATCCACTGCATCACAACACCAGCCCCAATCTTTAAGAGTTTTAACAGACACATTAAGTTTGTTCATACTGGGGTCGGCACCGCAGTGCAGTGGGTTAAGTTCCAGTCTGCAGTGGCAGAATCCCATATGGGAGCCGATTCAAGTCCTGCTTGTTCCACTTCTGGTCAGTTCTGCTATGGCCTGGGAAAGCAGTAGAAGATGGCCAAGCCCTTGGGCCCCTGCACCCATGTGGGAGACCCGAAAGAAGCTCCTGGCTCCTGGCTTCGGATAGGCACAGCTCCAGCCCTTGTGGCCAACTGGAGAGTGAGCCAGTGATGGAAGACCTCTCTCTCTCTCTCTCTGCCTCTCCTTTTCTCTCTGTGTAACTCTTTCAAGTAAATAAATAAATCTTTTTTAAAAATTAAAAAAAAAATCCTGCTCTGCTGCTTGCCGCTTATCTCTGTCTCTGCTTTAAATTCAACTCTCACTCTAAGCTAAGAACTTGGAATAAACCATGCTGGGAACCCCTGGTTCCACAACACAGCTGCTGGTTCACCCCTAAAATGCCCACAAATAGGCAGGAACTCAATACAGGTCTTCCACGTGGTTAGCAGGCACTCAAGTACTTGAACCATCAGTTACTGCCTCAAAGGTGTGCATTAGCAGAAAAGTGGAGCTGGGAAAGGAATATCAAACCCAGGTACTGTCATGTGGGAAGCAGAGGTTCTGTGCATCTTAACCAGTTAGGATAAGCACCTGCCCTTTTTTATTTTAAAATGTGTTTCGGGGCAGGTAGTTGGCCTGCTGGTTAAAATGCTGGTTAGGGAGCCTGCCATGGAATTTGGCACAGCAGCTAAGACACTGCCTGGGATGTCCATGTCTCAAATCAGAGTGTCTTGTTTAAGTTCTATCCCTGATTCTGACTGTAGCTCCCTGCTGATGCATACATGGGAAACCTTGATAATGGCTCTGGTCATTGGGTTCCTGCTACCAACATGGGAGATCTGGATTGAGTTCTCAAATACTGGCTTTTGCTTGGTCCAGCCCTAGCCCTTGTGGGCATGTAGGAGTGAACCAGAAAAAAAAAAAAAAAAAAAAAAAAAAAGGAGTGAACCAGAGGATGGACAATCTCTCTCTCCTTTCTCTGTATGTCTCTCTACCTTTCAAATAATAATAAATGAATAATATGTTACAAAAGGATTCATACATTATATCATATGTATCTTTAAATTATGCAATTTCTTGAAAGGAGAATATTTTGTTTTCTGGACATAACAATAATTTATTTACCAAGCTTCTCATGATCAATCTTTGCATTCTGTCAAATGGAGGTATTGTAGCTTGTCTGTTTCCATGTGCATCTCAATGATTACCAACAATATTCACAGTCATATTTTGTGAGCAATTTAACATAAATGTTCTTGTGAATCCTCTTGTCCAATTTTTTCCAGTTGATTGCCTTTTTTTTTACTTGTTGATTTTTAAGATGTCTTTATATAATCAGATTAGGAATCCTTTGTGAGTTAATATGTATTGTAAGTGGCAGTCCATCTTTCTACTCTTTTTATGATGTTTTTGGATGAGCACAATTTCTTATATTTAATTTAGACTAATTTACCTGTTTTTTTCTTTACAATTGATGGTTTTAGAAACTAGATAAGAAATCTTCCTTCACCCTGAGGATATTAATGCATACAATTTAAAAAAAAAATGCCTCTCTTTCTCTCTTTTTAAAACGATTATCTGTTCCAGCCCCGCGGCTCAATGGGCTAATCCTCCACCTAGCGGCGCCGGCACACCGGGTTCTAGTCCCGGTTGGGGCGCCGGATTCTTTCCCGGTTGCCCCTCTTCCAGGCCAGCTCTCTGCTGTGGCCCAGGAAGGCAGTGGAGGATGGCCCAAGTGCTTGGGCCCTGCACCCCATGGGAGACCAGGAGAAGCACCTGGCTCCTGGCTTCAGATCAGCGTGGTGTGCCGCCCGTAGCACGCCAGCCACGGCGGCCATTGGAGGGTGAACCAACGGCAAAAGGAAGACCTTTCTCTCTGTCTCTCTCTCTCTCACTGTCCACTCTGCCTGTCAAAACAAACAAACAAACAAAAACCGATTATTTGAAAGGCAGAATGAGAGAGAGAAGGCGATCTTCCATCCCTTGGTTTACGCCCGAAATGGCCACAACAGGCCAGGTGAGGGCAGGCTGAAGTCAGAAGTCAGGAACTCCACCCAGATGTTTTATTGAAATTTGATGTTTGTTTTAAAAAATCTACGCAATGGAATACCATGTAACCATAAAAACAACAAGGTGGGCTGGCACTGTGGCGTAATGAGGAAAGCCTCCCCCTGCATGGTCAGCAGCCCTTATGGGTGCCAGTTTGTGTCCCAGCTGCTCCACTTCCGATCCAGCTCCCAGCTAATGGCCTGGGAAAAGCAGCAAAAGATGGTCCAGGTACTTGGGCCCCTGTGTCCATGTGGGAGACCTAGAAGAAACTCCTGGCTCCTGGCTTTGGCCTGGTCCAGCCCTTGCTCTTGCAGCCATCTAGGGAATGAACCAGCAGATAGAAGATCTTGCTCTTTCTCTTTCCCTCTCTCTCTATAACTCTGATCTTTGAATAAACAAATCTTTAAGGCCGGCGCCGCAGCTCACTAGGCTAATCCTCTGCCTGTGGTGCTGGCACACCGGGTTCTGGTCCTGGTCGGAGCGCTGGATTCTGTCCCTGTTGCTCCTCTTCCAGTCCGGCTCTCTGCTGTTGCCCGGGAGTGCAGTGGAGGATGGCCCAGGTCTTTAGACCCCGCACCTGCAAGGGAGACCAGGAGAAGCACCTGGCTCCTGGCTTTGGATCAGCGCGGTGCACCGGCCACAGCGGCCATTGGAGGATGAACCAACAGTAAAGGAAGACCTTTCTCTCTGTCTCTCTCTCTCACTGTCCACTCTGCCTGTCAAAAAAAAAAAGGGAAGATTTCTATGTACTAGTAAGGAATGAAAAATGTAAACTACCAGATGATATGATGTCTTTTGCATAAAGAAAAGAGAAATATGAATATTCATATTCTCCCCCTACCCCGGAAAGCAACACAATACAACAACACAGCAAGAATAAAGCAGAAACTAATGAAAAGATTATGATAGAGATTGGTGGGAATGAGATTTAAGGGACAAGGATAGGAACAAAACATCTTTAAATATACTTTTGCATGCTGTTTTGAATTTTAATCATGTAAATACTTTATTTATTAAAAAATAAAATTTAAAAGGATGAAAAGTATTGAATGATACTTACTGACTTGGGAAGATATTTGTATTAAACGAAAA